GGTTTGGGGGGAATGTCCCCTTTCTGCACCTGTGTACACATACACAGTGCCACAGCCGAGGGGGGAAACATTGAGGTTGATCAAGCACTTGGCTCCACTTGAATGTTTATCCTGGAAGCAGGCCAAGGATGATACATGTCCAGAGGCACCAGGGTCCCTTCCCTTGTGATCTCCCCAGGTGATAGCTTAATTCTAAGGAAACTTGCACTGCTGCCTTTATGTTTTGAGGACATGGTGTCTACATTTCCCCAGTGCTGACCTTCTCTGAACCTCAAGAGAAAGAAACCCCTTCCTTTCTCTTCCTGCCATCTCCTTTGCAGGCAGCAGGTTCCTCATCAGAGGTGCCCAGTGCTTAGAGGTTATTTGGCTATGAAAAGGGCTGCTTGTTTTTTTTTTTTCCCCCTCTGGCCTTGGAAATGATGCTGGCAGTGTGGTGCAGTAGCTCTCCCTCCTTCTCCCCTCCCCTTCCCCTGCCTCAGCCCCCGTGAGGGGGGAGGAAGAGCGTGGGTGGTGGAAGGAGTTGTGGTCCCCAGATGTGTGAATTACTGCTGAGAAGAAATAGCACACCACGGACAAACAGCAGAGCAGTTCAGCTGAGAGAGAGCCATCGCTCTGGGCTTGCGTCACTGACCTTTTCCTCTCGCCCTTCTCAGTCCTCCCCTGACCCTCCCACTGCTTCCCCTGCACTTTGCACCAAGAGACCTCTCTGCATAGTGCTTTGCAATGGTTATCAGAGCTGGCACTGGAGTTTAAAGGGAGGGAAGTGGAAAACAAGCCCTGCAGAAAACAGAAGGCAATTCTCTTCATTTCCACAGAGGTCAGGTTGTCACCTTGCAGGACAAGAAAATCACGTGCTGACCCAACATGCTACTGTCCCTACCTGGCCTATCCATTGCAGTGAAGGCATAGCTATTCTGCCTCCACAATTGGCAGGGTTATTGGGGCGGGGGGAGGAGGAGAAAGCTTCTCCTAGGCTCAGGGGATTGCCTCAGACTCTGAAATATAGTGAAGAAGTCAAAATGCTAAAAACATTTCAAACCCTTGCAGGGCCAAGCTTGAAATGTGGTACAAAACCTGCACCAGTCTTCTAAGAGTCAAACAATGCTGCCAAAGTACCACATGGAGAGAGAAGTGGGTGTCAGCGTGAAGTGAGGATGTGGGAGATATTTTGGAGTATGTCTGCAATGGCAAACCTGTGGTCCCTTGGACCAAAAGATCTATCGAATTGCTTCCTGCAGCTGCAGGAGATAGGGCTTGGTTGCCTGGGAAGTCCTTTCTAGTAATCTGCTCCATTCTACTTCTTTAGGGGCAGAATCAAGGATAGATGGAAAAACATGGGCAAATGAGAGAATGCAATAAGCCTAGAAATGTTAGTGTATGGCAAACAGGACAATGCAGCGAGCACAGTCCCATGCTATTGCTTCTGAGATACTTTGCCTTACCCTTGCATGAGGACATTGGTATGGCAAACATTTGGAGTTCAGGCAGGACTTTAGCACAGGGAAGCCAGTGAAAATAATGCCTGCAGGATGGGTGTCAGTGAGACAGACTCATTGCCCTCTTTCATGTTGGTGGGGCATTCCCTACCCCAGCTTCTTTGAGGCACTGCCACTGACCTCAGTGGCAACCACTGGGGCTTGGGCACATCTCCCACCTCAGAAGCGCACTGAAATATGCATTGACCGAGCTCCCTTGCAGTCAAGGGTCCTCAGCAATTTTAGGTTGATGCATGTCAGCCTCGTTTCCTGAAGGCACAGATGCAAGTGGGTTAAAGAGAATCAAGTGCCAACACAGCCCCACAGCTCCCACTCACCTAAGGCTGGATTCTCAGCCTTCCCAGGGTACATGAGCAGTCCTACTCCTAATTTCTGTGCACCCTCCCATTTTAACAGTTGCAAGCAGAGACTCAGAAGGGTGTGAGTTTCTGCAATAATCCTCTGGTCATTTGTGAGTTAAGTGACACACACTCAAGAGGTGGGACTGGTCTGTAGGTTGGGAAGCTGTCAGAAAGCTTTAACTTGAATCTTCTGCCTTGCCACTTGCTGTGGTGTAACTGAAGGGAGAGAGATCACAGAGGGCCAGTGTGGGGAGGAAGACAGGTCATGATGCAAGGGAGCTGTGCTCATACAGAAGAGGCCTGCTGCCTCAGCCCCCCTCTACTCACCTCCTGATAGCATCTTCAGAGAGAGCCAGGCTTGCAAAGGGCAACAGTTTCCGTTGGCAGGAAGGCGGGAGATGTCCATGTGGGGTTAGTACGTGTGTGTTTACACATGTGTGGGTGTGGTAGCAGAGCACAGCTCGGCGCTGGCCTCTGAAGCCTGTCATGGCACAGCAAACGTTCCCTTTCCGCTGTGGTCAGAGGAGGGCCATGCCATGCTCACAGTCTGGTGTGAGGTGATACAAAGATTGCCTTCAGTAATGCAGCCATGCCCCATCTTCCATGCAGCCATGAGCAGGGGCTACAGCCAGCCCTTTGGGCCCAACATTGGCTCCTGCACAGCAGTAGGAAAAGGAACATCAGAAATAGAGGAGCTAGGGCAGGTTTAACCCATTGCCGGTGTCTGGCTGTGATACGCTGGATGGAGGGAGGGTGGGGCTCTGCTTGCAGTGCTGAGCATTGCTGGCTGCAGTGCTATATTGCCCCCTCTCCACCCCTGACTCTGGGATATAAAAAAGCAGACTGTCTGGATTATGTGGAAGGGAAGGAGGGAGAGCAAGCTGGAAAAGGGGAAGCTCACCACATCCCAGAATGGCAGCCTCCTGAATGGCACTCCCAGCACAGAATTCCTTGGCTTGGGGGAAACCCTATACCACGGCTGGAAGTTGAGGCAAGGCTCAAGAGGTCACCTGAGTTGTGTCCCAAAACTGCCCCATCTGTGACAAGGTCTGGCCAGGGTAGGAGGAGATGCAGAGCCAGCTCCTGCCACGCTGGGCCCCTGCCCTCTCTAGCACTTCGGGTGCTTGCATGCGCACCTGCATCTGTGTGAGTGCTGAGGGTCTCCTTCTGGGCCTCCTTCCCTGGTGCTAACCCTACACCTTCCTTAGGGACTTTTATATCCCTTTCCTCCCCACCTTTCTCTCTTCTCCTTTCCAACAGCTATCACAGGACAAGGAGCTAGCGCAGAGCCTTCACCATCTCCTGAGCTGGGCCTGATATGTGTTTTCTTCCCCAGAGACAGCACCATATCCTGCCCTTTACCTCCTCTCTCCCACTCCCTCCCCCTTCATACCTGCAAGACCACAAACCAGCAGGAAGCCAGTTCAAGGGCCTCAGCAGATACCTTGAGCAAGCTTGAGAAAAACACATGAGACCTCAGTGCCCTTTTCAGGGCTTGTACCACTTCTCTGGGGGAAAAGAGAGGCATGGTCCAGGGCTAGTGCTGTCACTGCCAGGCAGTGCTGCCTGCCCTGGGGCATGCTTCTTGTGTGAGCCCCACAAGCACAGGGGGTCAGGTCTTTGGCCCGTGCAACAGGCATGGCACTCATGCTGGCTGTCCCCAGCTCCAGGTCCATATATCACAGAGTAGCCACTGTTGCATGGATAAGGCCCCAGAATTAGAGGGAATGAGGTGACTGGAGGCCTCATGGCCTGCAGGGCACAGCTGCACCTTGGTCATCAGGGCTGGCCTGACCTGGTCCAGATGTGGGTCATTCCTTCAATAGCATTGCAGGGCCCATCTTGCCTGAGCTGAGCCTCACCTATGATGACTCCCCAGTCAGCCTCTATGGTGTGACGGGTGGCACGTGCTACAGACCCCTGCCAGGGCTGCATGCATCTTAGCCTCGAGGGATTTGGCTGAATAGCCTCTTCTGGTGGCGCTTTCCCCTCCAAAAGGGCAGGCTGAAGGCCCAAATCGTAGAAAACTTTTCTAGAAGGTACATATGCCACTCTCCCTTGCTTTTCACCTCTTGTAAGTGTGACAAAAGCACCTCCAATCTACCAGCATCTCACCTCAATAGGCCAGAAATATGCACGGGCACAGCTCCTGCACTTCTTGAGGCTATATTTCTATCCACTTGCTTGGGAGAAAATAAAAAACCTGCAGAAGGCTGGGCTCAAACTGCTGGGTTATCACATGTATGGGGATTTATGTACCGGGATATATGTAGCCCTAGCTCTGGGCCTGAAACAGGACCAAAGAGGCCTGTAAGGATGTGGAGACAATGTGCTTATGCTTTCCACCCCTTGGCAAATAGACATCTGGAACACATTAAGCCACAGGAGAAGATGTTCAAAGATTAATAAGACTCAAAATAAGAGGTCCTATTTGGGCATGTTCCCTTGTTCTCTTGTCCACTCCTCCACTTCCACAGGAGTGCTGGTCCACACAGTGCAAACCCCAAAGACCTTGTGATAAACTGCACTTACATCTTTTTCCTACACTGAGACCTCCAGTGGGCCTCCTGCCTGTCCTCAGGCTCTTACCCACTCTTAGATCTTCCACCCAGACCTCCAAGTCTCCTCTCCCCACTGATGCTCAAGTCTTCCCATTCTCCACAACTTCATGTGCAATTGTCACTTGTTTTTCCACCTCTAACCTAAACCTCAAGCCATTCCCATCACACACACGTCTTCCAGAAAGTGTGTCTAGTTTAACTCTTGAACCACCACCCAGCCTATTGTTAGCAAGCACAAGTATCTAGTCAACAATTTAATGTACCTACCTCTTAAGTCTACACTTCTGGCTTTACCTCTTGACAGAGAAGATAGAAATAGCGCAGTGAAAACTCACTCTTATCATGCTTACAAAGTACCCAATAGAAGGGTGTGATGAAATTTTCACAAGATAAAGGATCTTGTCCTTCTCAAAAGGTGCCTGACCTCAGCCCAGCCTTCCTCAATGAAATTAGTTAAGTACTTGGAGACTAATCCTACGGTGCATTGTCTTCCTCTTTTTTTGGTAATTTCCAAAGAAATCTTCTCTCAATTTGCTTAAAGCCTTCCCAGAAGGGAGGAGGGAAAAGTGCAAATCAAAGTGCAAAACAACCAGGGAGAAAAGTTTAATACCACTGAAAAAATATATATATACAAAAGTTATTGGAGTTTGTTTTTGTCATATAAAGCACCATTAATTCCACAGTACGTTACAACTCAGCCTACTACGCCTTCCAGAAAGCACCCAAGACTCTTGAAATCTGATTTAGCACCAAGGGATTGCCATCTTGTTTAGCACCAAGAAGCCTGTTAAGCATACCCTTTGGTCCCCCTGCTATCCTCTCCCACACACATCAGGCACCATCTGGCTGCTCATGGGCAGCATGTGAACCCCAGACCTGTCACTGGTACTCAAAAAGCAAATGGGAAAGGAGGAACAGAGAAGCTCATGTCTGGAGATATTCAGTCTTAGAAAGGCTTGCTTCTGTTCAGGGAGACAGAGGGGCACTGCACACTGTAAATACATAATATCTGGGTTTGCAGCCTGCAGCTAGGGAAGAGATAAAGAGATTTGGTCCTGAACATCACCTCCAGCATGCTGCTTCCTCTCCACTGCCTGAAATTTGTCTCTGAGCAATTCCACACAACCAATCTGCTAGTGGAGGGGAAGAAACTCAGTCTCCTTCTGTTCCTATGACCCCATCACCACATGGTTCACCAGGGAGGACCCAGCTTTACCTTGGTTGAACCCTGTTTTTATACCCATAGTCCAAGAAAGGATGGTGATGAGGATCAGGAATACAAAGAGTCTGAAACTCATTCCAGTTTGTATAGCTTCCTTAGCAAAGCAGGGAAGACAAGTAATCAGCGCAAGAGAGAAAATGGCCTGCAATTCTCTCAAGTTCATTTTTAATATTTAGCCTATATCCCTAAGCCTTTGCCATCCTGGGCAGAGCGTACCTGACTTGATCCTGTTTAATAATCTGATGCATATCTCTGACGGGAGAGCTTTGGTAGTCCCAGGTACTATAGGCAGAGACCATGGTTAATCATGAGACCACGGAAGCTAGGTAAGTGAGGGACTTCATTATTAGTTATGGACAGAGGAGAAATACAGTTTCTCCTGCTTGTCCTGTCCTGAGACTCAAAAAAGAGACAACCCTTAGCACTGCTGTTTACAGCAGTATCAGAACATGTGGAAGTAGGTTTCCCAAAGTGCTGAGTCAGCCTCATCTGCTCCCCTCCAAGACTATAGCAACCCCAAAGGGATGTGAATGAAAACAGCGTGAGACCTGTACTAGAAAATCCTACTGCTGGCCACCACGTCTCCAACCTGACAAGAAGCGTGAGGATGAGTTTTAGCCACATACTTTTCCCAGTTATTCTGATGGGGTTGCCAGAAAAGGGCACAGAACATATGACAGGGATGTTTATAATATTGGGGCAAGGTGCTGAAGTCTCACCTCTTTACATGCCACCATTTACCTCTACCTTTTTTTCCCTCGCAGAGGCAAAGAGGTACCAGCCTGTCCAGGTTTGAAAACTGTGGTTTAACTGCAATAGGCCTAACAGCCTATAGCTCAGGTCCTGAAACAGATGTCCCTCCGTACTGATGTGGAAGAGCCACCTTCAGGAGGACTGACATGATGGCATACAGGGACCATGGTCCTGCCCTAACTCTCCCCTCACATCAGCAAGTGTTAGGGATAATTGCTGGCATCACTGGAACAACACAGATGCACTTCTGCCAAAGATGACAGCAGCATCAGGTCCACCATCTATACTTAGGAAAGGGATATCTCGTGCTGGACTGGGCTGGCTTCCCCAAGCTGGGAAAATGAAATTGAGTAGTGCTGCAGAGCAGGTTTGCAAGGCTTCTCTCTCATTCTGCGCTTATGATCCCTAGTGGAGATAAAGTGACTCTACTCATTCAGTAGGCAGATGCCTCTGAAGGGTCTGGCTGAGGGTCAGGCCCCTTTTCTCTTTGAAAAGCTAGAGCTGACACAGCAGAAGACTATCCCACCCGGCCTAGGCCTTACAGCCAACCTAGGCTGGGGAAGGGCCACAAAATCCAGAAGTCTGGGCTGTAACCTGAGGGCTTTGTGACACAAAATGGTGTCTAAGGCAAGTCAACGACATACTTTGGAAGGCTGGTGGTCCCCTATTTGGAAAGACAGTATCATCTCTCACCGGTCCTGCATTTTCATCATGCTACAAGGAGCCAACAGACCCCAGTCCATTCTCCAGTCTACAGGCAGGAGAGTTGACAGTAGAGTCATGTTGCAGGCTGCGAAACTGGCACATCCAGTCAGGACAGAGAGAAGCCAGGATGCACCTAGGCAGTGGGAACTTTCTAGCCCTTTCTATAGGAGTCCTTTGTGCATGAAATCCCAAGGAGGGAACCATCCCCAGGAACAGCACTTTAGCTTCCCTCCTGCTCCAGGACTCCATGTGCCAGATACAGCCTGCTGGCCGTTTATAGAACAAGTCAAGAACCTAAGTTAGGGTAATGAGTTGAGGGGGTAAGAGATAGTAGTGTCATGCTGTAATGCACAGATACAGGCCTGGCTATAGAGGAGGGAGCATGAGGTGGGAGACAACATGGCAAGTCTCATGCTCAGTGCCTGAGACTTGCCCGGCCCATTTCCAAGTGGTTTGCAGTGGTTGTGGGCAATACAGAGAGAGAGAGAGAGGAAGAAGAGAAAGCCCAGAGAGGCCCAGGGGGCAGGAGGAGGCAGTTAGTCAAGGCTGGGCTTGACCAGATACCCGTTGAAGGTGATGTACACATCAACATCATCACTGTAAATGGCGTTCTCCCGCTCCCGCTTGTAGAGCCGCACCCAGACCTCATCATTTTCCTGCAGCTCCAGCATGAGGCTCTGGCTCTGCATGATGCTGCGGTCACTGGGTTGGGCATACAAGATGACTGCCTCTTCTTCATTGTGCATGATGTGCATATAGGTCTCCTTGAAGTTCCAGGTGTGGACGTTGAGGCTGAAGTAGTAAAGGCCGCCTACATAGCAGTAGAACTTGCCATTGAACATGTCAAAGTGGCTGTAGAGGTTGACGAAGACTGTGTCAAAGATCAAGACCTGGTAGCCCTCGCTGCTGTGCAGTGCTTTCTTGCGACCCACGGAGAATGCAGCATACTGATGCTTGCAGGGGTCCCCTGCTGTGCCCATCTGTCCTTTACTGCCTTTCTCACCCTGGGCACCCCGCTCACCACGAGGCCCTTCTTTGCCCCATTTCCCTGGCATCCCAGGCTCTCCTCGGTCTCCTTTTTCTCCTACAAGAGAAAGCAGAAGACATATCCCCCACATAACACCAGAGGGAGAAGTGGAAGTGGCAGTGAGATAACACAACAAAGAGGCAGAAAGTTGCTCAAGGATGGGTCGATGCCGGAAGGAGGAATGCTCCTGAGACTCACAATATCATTGTGCCTTATGGGAAAAGAGCCAGCAGAGCTCTGAGTATAACTAGGGTCTCTTTTCTTGCAAGCCTCCTGCTCACGACATGATATGGTGTTGCTGGAGGCAACGAATTCCACCTCAAGATGGAGCTCACAGTACAAAGCACTCTTGGAGCTCTTGGCCTCTTCTTCCTCCTCTGTACTCCCTTATGCATACCACAGTCTCTGCCCTCCAGCACACCTCTCCCATGACACAGTTACCCAGTAGTAGGAACACAGTTCTTGGTGTAGGTTGGGGAAGGGGGAGAAGCACTGATGTCTACGGGAGAATATAGTTAGAGAGTGTCAAGGAGTGGGGTCAGAGGGAGAAGATCCAAGCTGGACTTGGCAGATGGTGAAGTGCAGGCTAGAAGACTGGTATGGGAGCAAAACCAGCGTCATTTGGTTCTCCTCTATATCTGCCTTGGGGTTGGTGCATTAGCCTGCTCTGTGTCTGCGCTTTGGGCAGGCATCAATGCAGGGAGAGAACAACACAAGAATGTACTTTATGCGTGGAAAGGAGACAGGGGTCAGAGCAGCCTCCGCACAAGTGACAGCATCCTAAACTTGTGCTTGGTTCCCCTTCTCTCCTTCTTCCCCTGAGTGGCTTTGCAAAACTGCTGGTGCACAGCTCCCCCTGCAACACCCCACCCTAGTCCAGGCCTTCGTCTGCCCTTGAATGCACTTCTGAGCTTTTATAAATTGCAGCTATTTTCAGGATGGGCCGAGAAAGGGGGAACATCTGCCCAGCCAGGCCAGAGGAACCACAGAACAACAACGAGTGAGTAGAGCAGGATCCAGCTGCGAACAGGCTTTCGCCCACAGCAAAGGCTGAAAGGGGGGGCCTCAAAGGATCTAAAATAGGGAGCGTTTCCCCCTAAGCCAAGCCAGCCACAGCAGGGTGGAACAAGCTAAGTGTCACTGCCAGTTAGCTTGGAGGTACCTCCAAATAGCTGCTGCTTCTTCTTGCCCTCTTCCCCCCCACAAGTGCCTGTGACCCATGAAACTGGAGAAGGCTTCCCCACAGCCATGCCTGTCTTCCCTCCAAGCCTGCATACTTTGCAGCTGGATCAAGGCTGCTCGGGGCCCTGCCAGTCTGGCAAGAGGCCACCACTGTCACTTCTGTGCTAGCAGGAAGGACGAGCTGGTGGCAGGCAGCTTCCTGAGACACAAAGGTCACAGCAAATATATACACTCATTTCCTCCCTCAGGCTACCCTTGGTCATGGCACAAAATATCTGGGCCCTCCGCACAGTGTGGGTCAGCACATACCCTGCAGGATGGTGTCTGGCAGTCTGTCAGGTTAACTGGCTTGCCAGCAACCCAGCTGTCACCTCCAGCACTGTGCCACTGGTCCCTAAGCAGGCCTCAGCACCCCCAGGGCCAAACTCGGCACTTACCCTTCAGTATGGTGATATTGATATATGGACGGACCTCTGGCATTGGGTAGGGCGAGTGGTGGTGACTGGGAGGGAGTGGTGAGGCATCTGTGGAGGAGTCCAGTGGGTCACAACAGCGCCTGCAAGCACCAGGGGTTGGTTCTGTGAGGTTGGGTTCATCGGTGGGTGCCCCAAGCACAATGAGAGGGAGGATAAGGAAGGCCAGGGATGTGCGCAGACAAATTATTTCCATGGTGACCTGGGAAGATATGAGGAAGTACCAGAATGAGACATTAGAAGGAGAGAACATGGGAGACCCTATCAAGGAACAATAGACTTTGGTGGCTGGAGCCAGTGGTGGGACAGAAATGGCACTGTCCTGTGGAGGGACTTGCGTGCTCAATTTCCCTGGAGTTTCAAGGCTGCAATCTGAGCAGCAGCCGCAGGGCCCAAGAGGATGCCCCACACCCATCAGTCCAGACCAATGGAGACTAGGTGTCGAGCCTGAAAGAAGGCTTGACCCTCAAAGCCTGCCACCAGGCAAACCACTGCAGCCACCTCGAGATTCAGTTCCCAGGCTGGGATAGAAGAAGGAGAGATGGCAAACCACACAGTCCCTTTAAGCAAAAGCATGCTCTGATAGGCTGCTGAATCTGTGGGGAGGACTGTGAAAAACTTCTCCAGACCTCTAATCACTTTGCATCAACTCTTCATGGGAGTTAACTCAGCCCTCTGGACTGGGGTCTGACCCACACCTTTCTCCAGAGAGGCCCCTTCAGCTGTGGGCTAGGAATCTAACTTCAACCTTCTCCTCTCCCCACAAACCAAAGCACTTCTCTCTCCACACTTCAGTCCCCACACCCAGGGTCAGTTTCTCCTTTTCCTTCCGTCACAGGAGGAGAGCTGACCCGCAGCACCTTCCTCAAAGGAACTGTCGAACAGCAGGTGATGCCAGGCCTTTGGAGAAAGACCGGAGGGCAGCTGCTCTGCTGCGGAGGGGGAAGGAAGCTGAGAGCAGAGCAGGCAGCCTGCAGAGAAGCATGTGTTCAAGAGACAGACACGCAAACAATCCCAGAGCCCCCCTCTCCCAGCCTCTGCCCCTTTCCCTCCGCCTGCACCCCAGTGCAGCGTGGCAGCTCACCCTGGAGGCTGAGGGCTCCCCTGTGTGCTCCCCAGCCCCTGCTCGCTGGCTCACCTCCGCCTACAAAGCTGGCCCCCAGGCCCAAGGCTTTAAGAGAGCTGGCTCTTGGCACAGGCACTGCTGAGTGCTGGCTGGGTGCACAAGCTTAGCTTGGACCTACTCCCTCCTCTGTCCTCTCCCTCCCTTCCCCTCCCTGGCTTTGGGCGCTCTCCATTGAAAATGGCTTGGGTTTCAGCGCCTTTTAACTCTTTCCTAGGGAGTTCCTTTCCATTATATATATATACACATATATCTTTTCATCTTCCTTTTTCCTTCCAAACAGCCTAGCCCTGGGCAGCAAAATGCAGGCAGAACAGCCTGCACCCTGTGCAAGGGGTGGGCAGGCAGCACAGTAGTGCCCCAGCCTGAACACCTCAGGATGGGCAAGGTGGGGTGCAGAGGGGCAAGAGACAGCCTTTCTTTCAAGTGGGATGATCCAGGACTCTGGCCTCACTGCTAGTCCCCTTTGTTAGCCCCTTGTCCTGTATTTAAGCCCCTCGCCCCTACCTCCCTGTGTTCTCCCTGTAGCTCCCCAGCTATGCCTGTCCCAGGCAATGTCCCTAAACTTCATCTTTCATTCCTTCCTGCATTATTTCTTTTGTGCCTCTCCTTGCCCTTTCTCCCCAGCCTTGGCATTTCTAGCAGGCTCTCCTGCCAGCTGGGAGAGACATCAGCTTTTCACCTCTTTGGTCATCCTCTCTCTCTGGGCAGAGCCCCAGTCCTTGCACTCTGGCACGTGTCAACGCCCGGTCACATCCCTGGCTGAGCAGTTCATGTTGGAGGAGCGTGCCTGGCCTGGAGCTCAGCCCTGCTGCAGGGAACTGCCTCCCAGCAAAGCTGACACTCTGGAGCAAACCATGGCCATGGTCTTCACCTCCAGCCTGGTGCTAAGCCAATCTAGTCATGTCATCGGGGCCAGGGCTATACAGCAGTGCTGGAACCTGGGAACAGACAGCATTTTGTGGGGAGAAGGAGGGTGAGGGGAAGCAGGGGACATTCCTCACACTGCAAAATTGATTGGGAAGAAGGTTTTGGGAGTCTCATGCTGCAGCAAGACCTGATTTGGGAACGTATACCCATGGGGGTGCACATATGTGTCTTCAGGAGGCAGAAGGGGGGACGGGCTAGCTGTAGTTCTTTTCTGCGGCAGCCGGAAGTGCCAAGTCAGCACTCTGTCTCCAGTATTTTCAGAAGGAAGCCAGAGAAGGCTGGTAGATTTCTGAGGGGAAAAGGGTCTTGTGCACGTGTACGTGTGCTGGCATTTTTTTTCCCCTTCTCCCAGTTGTTTGGTTTAGGAATGGGAGGCCCTGCTTCCCACAGTGGCTGGCGCTTGGCAGGACCCCAGCACCACTGGAGAAGTAAGCGGAAAAGTCTGGGAAAATATGTGCTGCGAGCTGGGGGAAGGGAGGAATGGGGGTTGGGAGGCCTGGAGATATTCTCAGGCTGCCTGTCAGCCCGCAGTTCAATGAACATGGAGCGAATATGTCTCCCAGCTGCGGCTGGGGGAGGCCCACGAAATTCACTGCAGCGCTCATGAGTTCCCAGCAGGGCTCCAGCACTGACAGGCAATGAGGCCCAAAGCAAATCTCCCACATCTGCCCCGTGCCTCAGTTTCACATCTGCCCTGTGCCTCAGTTTCCCTGTTTGGAAAATGAGAGGGAAAAAGGGCAACACTTCCTGCTAATGGAGCCTTGTCAGGTTACAGAAGCAGGTTTTCAGTTGTGTTATCTACTTCTGCCTGCTGCTGGGAAGGATCTCCTCGGCTAACAGTGCTATTGCTGCTGGCCAGTAAATTACCTTGGATGGAGAAAACTCAGAGACTCTCACACTGTCGACAGAGCTCATCTCTGTCCCATCAAAGCTGCTGCAGTGCTTCACTCTCTCAGGTTGTCTTGTCTCTGAGGCTATGGCTTATTTCCAAGCATGACATTTCTTTTGTACTCCCTTTCGCAGCTCTATGCCTTATCTCTGGCTGCACTTACCTTTTGAAGGAGAACAGGGAGCAAGGAAGGCCGTTGTCCTCATTCCCCCCCTGCTCTTGAGGAGTTCACAATCGAGCAAACATTTGTCGCCGAGTCCCTCAGTGGCCAGGGCCTCTGCCTTTTTCCTGTCTGACTGCGATCACAGGCCAGAGCAGGGAGCGAGCAGGACTTTGTACTGAATATCTCGTACAAGCCGAACGGGGTTGCTCTGGGAGCCAGCAGATGAAGACTTGCACTGTTGGCATTGTCCAGCTGGGCAGCAGTTCACACCAATAAAGGCACTTTTGCCAGGGTAATATTGCCATGCTCCCTGAAGAGAGCGGGCCGTACCAGCAACGTTTTGCAGCGTAGCTGCATTTGCAGGAGGCTTTGGCTTGTATAGCCAGGTGCTCGAGGACATAGGCCTTGAAAACGCTGTCCAGCTTCCCTGTGCCAGCCACGCTTTCAAGCGTAACCCAAGCCTTGAGGCACCTTGTGTACTCAGCTCTCTCTCCCCGATCACGCTCACTCTGCCTTGGAGGCAGCCCAAGGAGGTACTGGCCAGATTGGACTCTAGCAATCCCTGTTCAAAAGCAGCTGCTTCCTCCTTCTACATTTCCTCCCCTCTCCTGCCCCCTCCCTCCCTCCCACCATGGGTGAAGCCGGGGGACAAAGCCTGGATCCCCTCCAGTGGCTCCCTGCACCCTGTTATTCCCATCCACCATATGCAGGGAAGGAAGGAAGGAAATTCCCTTGCTGTTTCCTCCCCTTCCGTCTGTATACAACTCCTCTTCGGCACATATCGACCCCCTGATCTGCTATACATACTCACATCCACTCCAAAACACCCACACACTCCCCCTCCCAGCTCCTCCCCCAGGAAAGCCTGGGCTCTTCCTCCCAAACAAATGTATTGTCCACACTGAGAGGCAGGGAAACAGCCCCTTCTTTTTCCTTCTTGGCTGCTCGTCCTTGATCAGAGCAGCTTTCCCTTTCCCTGTTTTCCCACCCCTCTGTTCCGAATCTCCCAGAGCAGTGCAAGCAGGAAAGGGAAGCAGAGGACCTCTTACCTCCGCACCCCTCTGGCGGGGTCCTGTGCAGGGTTACGCGTATCCTCAGCTGCTCCTTGTTAGCACCGCAGGGAGGGAGGGCTCGTGAGGCCCAGCTGACTGTAGCCAGATGCTCGCCAAGTGCTGTTATGTAATTACTGTCTTTTCCATCCTGCCTCGCAGGCCTTTCTGAGTACCTCCCCCACGCTCTGGCCCGTGTCAGGCTTGGCTTTCACTCCCCCTCCTTCCCCCCCGCACTGGATCATGATTTGTTCAGCTCAACAGCTGATTCCTTCTGGAAGCAAAGTTCATGCTTTTGGCTCCTGCCATTGCTACCCTTGAAAGGAGAGAGTACATGAGTTGTCAAGTGGCCGGAGCTGGGAACCAACAGGCAGTATTCCTCTTCTCCCTTGCGGCCTGACCTTGGCTGGGTCCCATCGGCTTGCTCTTCCTCAGGGTCCCCATCTGCAAATGGGAAGGAGGGCTTGAGCTGCTGAAGAGTGGCAGTGAATTTTCATGCTTCTTATATTCTGGGATGCCCCAAACTTACCTGGTAACAGCAGGATTCCCTCTGCAGTAAACTGGTTTATATTCTGGCCAAATTGCACAGGAGGTTTGGGAAACAAAATATTTTCAAGCCTGTGTTCTGCAATGCCATGCATGAGGGTTGTGTCACAGCCAACCTTTGCTAACCAGAGTGCCAGCACTGTACAAAATTACCAAAGGGGCTGGTTGGGACTGTCCCATATACCTCTGAGAAAGTGCAGGCCTGTCAGTAGCCAGCTCAGTGGCTACATTTCACTCATAACTTCTGCCCATATGGGGCCTGGATCAACCAGGAATGTCCAGTCCCTTGGCTCTGTGAAGGCTGCCGCAGAGTTTAAGGGCACTTCTGCCAGCAGTGTTTTTTGCTGCAGGCTGTTCTGTCAGCCTGGCAGTCTGGAGTTTCTCGTACGGAGATTAGGGCCTGGCAAAGCTGCCACATTTTTTGCTATGCACTGCTTAAATGCCACGTGGCTGAGCAGTAGCTGGAAGAGCAGTTCACCTGTGCTCATAGCTAGGGCAAAGCTGTTACTAGAGCTGGTAGTCTCCAGCACTGAGCTAGTCGAGATCTCACGTGTCTGTTACACACAGCTGGATTGTATATCAGAGACTTGCTGACAAGTTGTGTCAGTGGAAGATGTACTGGAGCTAAGGTCACATCACCCAGCCTGTCCCTTTCTCTGTAGTCAAGTCCCACTGCTAGGTAGCTTTCCCAGCTTCAGTCTCCCACCTGCCACCCCTTACCCCCACCTTGTGATCCTGCATGTGAACCCCTTCCACACGCACCAAGACAAATGTCCTTCAAAACTCTGGCATGTGGCAACTCAAGCACTAACCCTACTGCAATCCGTGAGACTTCATTGCCTTGTCAGCACCTAGGCCCGGTAGCTGGGCTTGGTAGGAGATATCAGGTGACATTACAGCCTGTTTGAACCAGTTCTTAAAAATCACCTCCAGCCAATCCTGTTCCTTTCTCCTTCTGCACCTTTTCCTTAGAGCCCCTCCTGCCATCTGAGTACTTCCTCCTCCTTCCATTCACTCTAATTTAGATCCATGACTTTCTATCCCTGTGTTGTCCCCTCCCACACATACTCCCATGCCCTGTCCTGGGAACAGGGAGCTATTTACAACAGTACATCACTGCTTGGGACATCTCAACTCTCACAAGGGCTGCTATGAAAGGTGGACAGTGATTAGGACCAGAACATTTTCTTCAGAGGTTCCCATGAGCTTTCTCACCAAAGAAACAAGAACTCTGCAGCAAGACAGAGGGAACCAGTGCTTAAGAGCTCACAGAAACTCTTGGACTGGTGATGGATCTGTCCAGCTGCTGGACCCATTCTGACACCTGTGGGCCTGGGACAGCGAGATCCCACTATCACTTGGTGGTACCATCCAGAGTCTGGTCCTAAACCCATTTGGCAGAGGAGAGGCCTGCCATCTTCTCTAGGCATTTAATCCAGCATGAGCATGTTTGCCACTCTGGCCTCAAGGCACAGAGCACAGGCATTGCTCGATACTGGTGCGGCAAAGCTCAGTGCTTCCCACAACAGACCTCTTCTGAAAATGTACCATGCCCATGTGGTAGCTATGGTGCTTCTGAGGGCTCTGTGTGACTTCTCCAGCTCCAAGTGCTTGCATGGTGAATACATAGGATTTCCAAGAATATAGTGGTGGCAGAGAGAGGGAGAAAGCTACTGATGAAAAGCCTGACAATATCCCTTGTCGCTGCAGTCAGTGCACAGCCAGGTGTGCAGGACTATTGGGACCACGCATTCATGGACCTTCCCTGCTGGGCAGAGCCATGCCTCAACATCAGGGATTTCCAGGTGGGAAAATGCATGTCTGTGACACCTGGTCGCGGGTTAGCGATAGTAAAGCCAGCCCTGGGGCTCTCCGGTTTTGCAGCTGGAGGTCTGCTCGCCTCCAGCTCCCTCCCGTGTGCCTCCGGAGCAGGAGGAGCTTGCTCGGTGCCTGGAGTGACAGGAGGCGGATGCAGGGCCGCCGTCCGTGGGTGTCGAGTCCCCCCTGCAGGAAAAGCAGCGCAGCGCACCCAGGCCCCGTGTCGCCTCCCCCGTCCCCGGGCCGCAGGGGGCGTCCCGCTGCCCCCGCGTTGCGCCGGGCCGGATGCAGGGCGCTGCATGCAAACCGCGGGCGCCCTGCTTGTTGCGAGCGTTGCCTGAGGCTGCGGCGCTACAGGCTGTCTGTGCCAGTGCTGCTAATCCCCGTGGAGAGTACCTGCAGCTGAGTAGAGGAAGACACCTGGTTAGGCACAAGTTCTTTCGTCCCCTCTGCAAACCCACCTCTCAGCTTCGCTGAAGCTCTGATGAAAGACCACTAAAGGAAGCTGTGATGGGGCATACTTTGAAACATCTTTGTAGACACTGTATGTGAGTCAAGGCATATAGATTTCCTTCCCACACATCCCTGTCATGCATAGAAGGACGTGCTACAGCCCAGGCACGTATCTTTAGCTGGCTACATTGACGTGCTGGGTATGTGTGTGTGTTTGTGCATGACGTGCTAAGTGTGAGGTCTGGGTGAGCTGGCTGCATTCTGCGTGGCGTTTGCATATTTTATGCTTGGGAAGGCAAAGAACACTAAGTTTTCATGAGCAAATATTTGCATATTTTCCACTCGTTCAAGCAGATAAAACATTTCAGTTCTCTGTTGCATCCTCAGGAGAGCCAGGAACATCTTTTGAAGGGTGTTCCTTCCTTGTATCTCCCTGCCTCTTTTACTTACTGGCTCCCCTACTTCAACAACGGATTAACTGCTTCTTGCCCACTCCCCACACCTCTGCAGCTGAAGCAGAATGTGGCCTGGACAGTTTTGTATTTGTCTGAACTGAGCCACTGGGTTACTGTGCAGATTGCAGATACAGTTTCTTCCTGATAATAGCTTCAAAGGACATCAAATGTGGGCTGTGTTAGTAACAGCCTGGAAACACGTCCACTCCTCTGCCACTGGAACCACTCCTCTATCACTTTTCCCTGCCCTGCCAATTTCTCTCCAGAAAAGCCACTGCAGAGCTGAAGGGTCAAACTGAGTGGATCTGAAGTTGCCTGATGCCATTGTTGGACAGGCATGAATGGGCTTGGGTGTGCATGCATGGTGGGTCTGAGCGTGGGGAGGGTTGTTTGCAAGGTCAAGCTGTCAGCTCCCTGTTTTAGCCTATGCCTTGGCGGCAGGGGGGGGGAAGAACGTGCTGTGTTCTTGCATTCGTGCTTAGGCCGAGAGGTACAGTCGTGTCTAAGCACACGTGCGTCTTTGTGGGTGGCCACATATGGTCTCACGCACAAGTAGCTAAACATAAATTAGAAGCATCCACATACATGAATATATATATATATATACACACACACACACACAGTCGCATGTACCCACACATACAGACATGCAGTCACATCAACACTCATTTGTATGCATGCATATACAGCACATGCATACTTCATATTTGCTGTCATGCAGGCTGACATGTACATATACACTCTTGCAGTGGCTGGCAGAATGGGCTCTCCATGACTCTAATACCCTGCCCATGATCAAATGTTTGTTAGGAAGAGACGTAGCATAATGCTGCTGGAATCACTGCGGCCTTTTCTAGTCTTGCAGCTCCAATCTCTACGTGACAAGAATAAAACCTTTTGTGCAGCACGAGGCTTGATGGAGCCCTTATCTCCATGCCTCTGCACCCAGAATAGAAAAATCCATTTCCACATCTAACTGGAACAAATCTCCCCGAACACAGTCAGAATTTCACTTAGCCACTGTGCATGGCCCCTGTGGGCTCTGGGTTGCCCACAGTCAGTCACACTGTTATTATGAGGGGGAAAGGGATCACAGAGGTATTCAGATTAGTGCTATTACCACAGAGAAAGATGGGGAATTCACCAGGATGGAGACAGAGCTGAGGAGAGACTTGTAATCAGTGGTTATACTTTGCAGAATTTTATAGTTTTCATTTTCTCCTCACGTGTTTCAGCCCCTTTTCATATCCTTTTTTTTTTTTTTCCATTTGTCTCAGAAAAATAGGCCATGGGGTAGGGGGAAGAAGAAATCAAAAGGTAGAATAACATGATACTTGTGACCCTTTTCAAAAACTGCTGTTTAAACTAGACTCCAAATTGTTTGCAGGTGTCCCCAGAACATGTTTTGTTTTCCCCAGCTGGCTCCCCTGCCGAGCTGCCTTTCTATTGGGTTTAGATTCTGTGTACCACAAGGATGTACAGTGTTTCCTTGGAGCACCTGCTCAGTGTTGGCCTTTCAGTGCTTGAGCTGTTCAAAATGTAGATAAGTATTTTAAGAAGCCAGCCAGTCTGTGGAGTTTCTTGGGTGGTGACTTGCAGCAGATGGAGCTGCGAAGGCGTGTAAAATGAAGTCTCAGCTCGATTCAGTGGTGAGGGAGAACATCTCTGATAAGTGCTGTTGGCAGAGGGAACTCCCCCACCTCCTCTAGGCAGCTGTGCAGCCACTCAGTGGAGGAGGAAACCTTTCCTATATCTGCTCCCCACTCTTCTGAGCCACCTCCTGCAAAGTCATCCCCTATCACACACATTCCTCTGCGCCTGCTTTTTAGCCATGCACAGCACTACATGGTCCCCAGCTAATACCATCTGCACACCGTTCACTTTGCTCTGCTACTGACTGTAAGAGGAGCAACACAGATCCCCAGTTAAACTGTTGTGTTGTCCATGTGTCTACCCACTTGGTAGCTAAACCTTTTAATCTTTCTACTTTTTCTTGCCTCATATATAGGCAGGAGCTCTGGCAGTATATTTTCATTCCACTGGGATTTCTTTATTGCCCCTCCTGCTGTTGCTGCTGGAGCTCCACATGCAATAAAAGAGGTCTCTTTGGTTCAACAGACTGTCTATCTCATTTCTAGGAATAGGCTGGTTGCTTTCCCCACTGGAGACCACAGTGTGGGGATTTTGTTTTTGGATGGAAGGAAGAGGAGACCTAAAGAGGTAGCACAGGATAGAAACTGGCTACCAGGCACTAGGAAGCTTTCTTTTCCCCATGAGGTGAGCCTGCACTCCTGAGTATGTGCCTGTGCACAAGCTCAGTGGAGCAAGTGCACTTTGCAAGAGGAGGGGAGCAATAGCTGGGTGGTAGCATTGGTAGCTCAGCGTTGACTCCTGAGGCTGAGCCTGCAGGCATGGATGGCTTGGCACCAGTGTCCCAGACTTAGAAAGGAAACAAGAGGGTGGAGGAGCCATAGGGGTGAGTGCTCTCTATCTGCCCCAACGCCTGAGAGCTCAGCTGAGCGTCTTCAGCTCTGCCACATTTTACAGTCCCTTCCCACCCTCCCTCTAGTCTCTGGTGTGGCTGGGGCACGTTTTCTCACCGGCGCCCTGTCAAGCTCCTTTCCTGCATTAAGGTCCCCTGCGCTTTGGTCCCGCTGATGCCCGTCACACCTCTTCTCATTTTGTCCTGGGGAGATCTTAACTCTTGCTTCTTCATAAGGTGGTTCTGTTCCCTTCACCCTCAGCTGCTCCAGCGTAGGGCTTTTGTCTTCTGCCCCAGCACACCTGGCCCTCCTGCCATCCCTTCACACCTCATGCCTTCTTTGAAATGACCAGTGACACACCTTTCCATCACCCAGCCAGCTCTTGTCACTGACTCTTCTCTTGCCATGTCCCCACCTCCTCCATCTCCTCACTTCAGGGAGGCCTTTCTACTCCTGGTGGGTCCCTCAGTCTTCTTTCCCTTTTCTCTGAATTACTTGAAACCTGAGAAAAAACTTCTTTACTGTGAGGGTGACAGAGCATTGGAACAGGTTGCCCAGAGGGGTAGTGGAGTCTCCTTCCCTGGAGATATTCAAAACCCGTCTGGATGCGATCCTGGGCAATGTGTCCTAGAGGACCCTGCTTGAGCAGGGAGGTCGGACTAGATGCTCTCCAGAGGTCCCTTCCAACCTAAACGATTCTGTGATTCCATGATACTTACAGAGAAAAGTGCCCAGATATCACCAAGGGCTCTGGTATGAGAGTCTTCTTTGTGGCTGTAACTTAGCAACAGCATTTGTGGGGAAGTTCAAGGTGTGAGGAGAGACATTTAGCAGAGCCTGCAGGAAAGTAGCCAAAGTGGAGGGACAGACCTTCATCCCCCACACATTTGTACATCGCTGCTCCTGTAGCCTGCACACTCAGGCAGACCCACCTACAACTTCCATCCACCAGCAGATATGCACAAGCAAACACACACACTAACACACATCCTCTCACACTCTTACACAACTAGCTACGTGCACACACTTCCATACATACTTGCATGCCTACACAAACAAATCAACTGTTAAAGATCCCACAATTACGTAAACATACTCCCTCCTCTGCATTTGTATATGCTTATATAAACACATATACCCCTTATGCATACTTGTACACATATGTACACTGAGCCACACTCAGACAGACACGCACACTTACACACATGCAGATTAACATCAGTGCCCAGCCCAGCCCCCACTGGCCCCACAGCACTGGCTGCTGGGTCTCTGACCCTATTCAGCCATTCTCAGAGTCAGATAAATTCCTGGCACCTGGAAAGCAAATATCTCACACACCTGCGTTTGGGCATATCTAATCCTTGTGCCCTTAGAGTGTGCAATTGTACCGCCACAAATTCTTTCCAGCTTCTCCCTGCTAAGAAACTCATTTCCAAGGCTTACCCAGCCAGTCCTGTGCACTCATATGGACACCCCCCCACCCATACAATCCAGGGATCAAACTTTCCCATACAGCCCCCTATATACACATGCAGACATATAATTTCTTCTCCATCCTGAGCCAAATACTCAACCATTCCCCACAAGATAAATTAGTTCATAGTATCACCCCAATTCCCTCCCCTGTAGCCCTCCCCAAGGACTGATACATGCCTTGATCTCCTGTACCAGCCAAGCACCCCTCCATACAGAGATCAATCTGTCATACAAACATTTAGGTACTAGTGTATATTCTCAGGAGACCCAAATCTATAGCATTCTCCCTCCCCTAAACACAGAGCGCTTCTGCCCAGTTGGTCTTTAAGTCCAAAGTCTTTTTGTTTATTTACAGTAAAACTTAGGGAAAGGAAAGGAGAAAGAGCATTTCTTTTAAGAAACTCTGCCCCCAACCCATGCCTCGTTGGCTTCTTTTCCACCCTTGTTATACCTTCCACCATGGTGCATAGGCACCAAGAAAGCCCTGAGAAGTGCAGAATTCAGGAAAGAAGTGTTGCATTTGCTCCCCCAGATAAGTCTCATCAGCCTGCCCAGAGCCTATGAGAACCCTAGAAACAAAGAGGAGGCTTTGGGCAGTCAGAGTGGCCTCCAGCCAGGACTAGTGCAGCTGGGGAAGCAGTCCCCAAGACAGAGCAAGAGAAGGGTCGGCCATTCATGCAACTGGTTGGTATGTCTTAGCTGCAGAGATTTTTCGTTCCTGCTCTTCCTTCAGGGAAATCTGGCACTGGGATGCCCATTCTAGACCTTCAGTAGCTGTGGCCACATGTTCCATGTGCCATTTTGAGGACTTCCTTGAGGTGCCACAGTCAGATGGCAGCTGTTGCCCTTCACAGTTGGGCAATCTGATGATGGATCATGCTGCTGGCCTTCCTCTCTCTGTGTTGTCAATGCCCATCACTTCTCCAGCTTACCCTGGATACAGTCCTTCCTATCTCTGGTACCACACAGACCCGGGGGTCCCTTCCAAAGTCAGATACAATGTTTTGCCTTTTCCACAGGCTCCTGGAGCCCTCTTCATCTTTAAGCGGTCTTGGCCTTTAGTACCTCCCTTGTGGCAACCTCTCCCATCCGCTTCAAGCTGGAGTAACACAGAAGTTGAAGGGGATCCCATATTCCAACCTCTCTTTCCTCTGCACCATCCCTTTCATCATAAATAACTGACATGCAACCTGTTGCTCTTCTCACAGCCCACAGGCTCCTCAGGGAGTGGTTTTTGCTCATTACTTTCTCCTGCCCCACTGCCGAGGGGGTGTTCCTGTCTGTCATTTCCATTCTGGGTAATCTTGCTAATCTCCCCCTCTTCCTCTTCATCATCAGTCTTCTCTGGGGGACATGGTGGCGCCTCTTGGCTCTGGACTCGGCGGGATGGCCTGAGGATGGCTCTCCGGAAGCCCTGCTTGAAGCGGTAGGAGAGAAAGCCATAGATGATGGGGTTAGCGCAGCTGTTGGCGTATGGCAGCACCACCACAAGAAAGTAAACGCCAAAGAGGGATGGCTCCTCTGGCAGTGGGCAGACAACATTGATGATGTTGAGGACATAGAAAGGAAGCCAGCAGAGGACGAAAACAGCCACAACAGCCACCACCATGCGTGTCACCCTGCGCTCTGAGAGCTTGTGCTTGGAGGACAGAGCCCTCACCCGCCTGCCAGAGGAACGGACCTTTACAACGATGAGCAGGTAACAGAGACAAATCACCAACAGTGGCCCAAAGAAGCCCAGGGCAGCAGTGTAGACAATGAAGCCAGCTCTCCACACCGAGGCAGGCTCTGGCCACTGGATGTGGCATGTGCTCATACCTAAGGGGACATCTGAGAAGACCACCACGGGCAGCACCACCACGGATGATAGCACCCATACAGTTGCACTCACAGCCTTGGCCACCCGTGCCGTCCGCCATTTGGAGGACTTCCCTGGGTGGACCACAGCCAGGTAGCGGTCAACACTCATCACTGTCAGGCAGAAGATGCTGGTGAACTGGTTGATAGCATCCACGGCCATCACCAGGCGACACATGAAGGACCCAAAGGGCCAGTAGGACAGGGCATTTTGTGCAGCCAGGAAGGGCAAGCCCAGCATGAAGAGTTCATCAGCTAGGGCCAGGTTCAAGATGTAGACGTTGGTCACCGACTCACTCACGGAGTGCCGCAGGACCACGTAAATGACCAGAGAATTCCCAGCCAGCCCCACAACACAGACAATGAGGTAAACCAGGGGGATGAGAACACCACTGACAACCACACCAGGGCTAGTGGTGGTGGAACCGTTGGCACTGGTGGAGCCTGCCCAGCTGCCAGAAACATTCTTCTCTTCTGACTCTGGCGGGGTGGGGAGGCTGAAAGCAGACGCGTCCATATCAGAGACAGGGAAGAGGGACGGGACAGTCTCCCTGCAGGATCAGCTAGCAGTCTGGAGGTGAGAGAAGGAGAAGAGAACTATTTATACGGGGAATATGACAGCTGAACAAGCCACAAATAAAATTACAGCATTAATGGTTGGGGGTATGGACAGGCATGGGAAGCCAAGGTAGGTTTGTGTGTGCTGGCAGCCACTGGAACATTTGGGATAATATTGGCCCTATCCAGACCTGGGAGGCAAATGGGCATGGAGAGACAAACAAGGACCTGGCTCAATGTGCAGCCAACAGATCCTCTCCCCTAAGGAAAGATGCCCTGGGGAAAGAGCCACAGACTAGTCATAGGAAGGTAAATTTCTTGTTTTCTGCTAATGGCTCTAACACTGGGGAAATAATAGTTCTAAGGTGCCTAGTTCTCATTTATGAGGGGCAGTTGCTTTACAAACAAAACAAGGAAGAGCATACAGTCACAAAGTGTGAACCTAGCTTTGGCTCCCTAGTTCACTAAGTGTCCTATTGCTTGCTGAAGCTTTCTTTGAGCTGGCCAGGTTACTGTGGGGTTGCTAGCCCTCACCAGCAAGAATGAAAATGCCTCTTCTCTCATTTCAAGCCAGAAGCTAGGCTCTGCACCTGAGCTGGAGAGGAGGTGGTTTGTGTTATGCCAACTTGGGAGTAAAGGAAGAGCCAGATCATTTTAAATAACCCAAGAGGGAGTAGTCCGAACCTCTCTCTCTCTGTGTCTTTCTCTCTTGCATTTCCGCTCTCTCCTTCTGCACCCTGCAACACACTGCTAATGGAAGAGGCTCTGCCTGCCTCAGCTGTTCACAGCATCAAAGCAGTGTCCCAGCCTTCTTAATATGAGATGCCAGATTGCCCATCACATCAGGCTTTGGCATGGAAACAGCACACAGCTCACTCAGAGAGAGCCTTGAACAAACAAGCTCTCTGCTCTCCACCAGCTCTTGGCTGACACCAGGTGAGAAGTTGCAGGGAGCAAGGGGACAGACAGAGGAAGGACGTGCCTTTTGTCTTTTGTTAGGGCACCAGACATGTGACTAACGCAGCCCAGCACATAGTCAAGCCTGGAGACATCCTGACATATCTTATGCAGGGGAGATATGTGTGATGCTGTCAGGATCACTAGAACTCTGGCAAAGCTTGCTAGAGGTGTGAACTATAGAAGGGTAATCCTCTTGATGAATTCGCTTCTGGGAAATGGGGATGACTTGGATGGAAGAGGACAGGGACCCTGAGGGTCATCTGTACCCATCCCAGCAGATCTCTTAGAGCTCTGAAGCTCTTTTAGCATTCAAATAAGAGTTAGAGGTCTCAGAGGAAAGAGCTCCTAAAATTATCTACTTTCAGGAGGCCAGAAACATTCCAGAAACTTTCCTTCCAGATAGGATTCTCCACAGCATCCCAACTTTGTTCACACACGTCTTGATATTTCAGTTTTAATTCTTTTGTGTTAATGCCACTCCAACTTCTGGAAACCTCAGGGAAGACCTGAGTGTTGGATGGATTCCTGGGATATCAGATAGGTAAAACCGACAGAGTTCACAAATGCACTAAATCGTATGTGTTGATGGATCCTAATGTGATAGGCCCCACAAAGGGACATCTGGGCAACCATGTCTTAACCCCATTCTTCCCCTATTCCTATAGGCCAATGCATGAAATACTTAATACTTGGCTGCTATGCTTAAATGATCTTTGAAGGACTGGAATTTTTTAGGCTTTCCTTATTTGCACGTGCCTTGGGCTGTGAAACAGTGTCTCAGTGGAATCCCATCTGTTGGGGTCCTGCAGCACTGGATTGTCCTACACATTGTCAGTGGCTGCAATGGTGGGCAGAGTAGAAAGTGATTTGTTCAGCACCGTTTCTAACTTTTAGGATCTTCCCTCTGGGATTTTTTTCTGCTGCTTTCTAATGATGCATGTGCCCGTTAGCCATTGCTGGAGGAAAGGGGAGGGGCAGTGCCTGCTCTGGAGACAGAGCCCTGGGAAGGGTATCAGAGAACAGAATAGTGTGGTGGTCCTCTAAAATGTGGGAATATAATGAGGGATCCCTGTGGGTGTTTCTCCTGCATGCACAGGAATTTCCAAAAAGACATTCAGAGACAGAGCCCTACAGATGTCAACTACGGCTGGGGATACTTCTAATGGGGATGTAGAGTATATGGGGAAGTGTCTGGGGTCCATACCTCAAAGCTGATTGCTCAGGCTGTGGTTTAGCAATACACCCAGCTTCATGGCTCATAAAACCCTATCAGAAATGCTAAGGCATGCAACATAAAGCACTGATTCATTGCAGACAGCTGTGATGGAAAAACTTTGTCCTTAAGAAGGCATAGTCTGTCTGTGCTTTTCTAACTTTATCAGGTACCATCTACCAGCTTAAACTCCATATCACGCACTGCCTAGTTAAACAGAACAACCGTTTGACAGCAGAGCCTGATCTGGGTCAAATGCATCCTGCTGGGTGCTATGGCAGTGCCCATATCCAGCACTCTAACTTCAAAGTTGAAATTGCGTCAGCACCTGTTTGGGGTCAGCCCTTACTGATGTGGAGAACACCTGGTGCAAGAGGCTTGGCATTCCCAGACAGGTGCTGCCAGAACATAGCTGGTCCAGACAACTGGAGAGCAAGGGGTCAGAGAGGTGGGAGGGGGCAGTGAATAAGCGCCGCCATCGTTCTTTAGGAAAATAAAATCTTATTTCTATATTTCCACATAGAATGAGAGGAGGAGGTGGATGCTAAAAGCTGAGCCTATATCTGATAATAAAACAGGAATAGAGGCTGGGAGGGACCGCTGAGTTCAGTAACTTGCAGCACTCTTGCCACCCTCCCCTTCCTTTCAACTTATTTCCCACAGTCCCATTACAGTTCAGCTCTCCCCCTGCCCCATTGCAGCGCTGAGCTCTGTGGTAGAGGCCAGGATGTGCTGCCAGAGTGGGGAGAGGGAGTTGGTAGGCTTTCTTCTCTGGGACTGCAGAGTCAACTTCTGCATGGACTCACGCCCGCGGTAGCCATCTGGGAAGGGCAGGAAGAGCCGCCTGGTACTTACGTGTCGTTGGGATGTACATTTTCCTCTGCTTCACCAGGAGAATCCGTGTCATATTTTTCCCCTTCCCCTTTGCTAAAAGCAATTTGAGCAAAGCAATCCCAGGAGGGAGCAAGTCCCAAAACGTACTATCAGAGATGCAAGTCTTTCTTCCTGGACCTGCCCATTGTCCCCTCTTTTACTGACGTGGGATGTCTCCTCCTCAGCCCTGTGCCCCACTCATGCACCTGCTGATGGCCAGCCGGCTGTGCTTGCGTCCCTCCAGGGATGTGAGGCCGCTCACGCTGGTGGCTTGACAGACCTCAAACTCCCCACGCTCCCCTTGCCATCTGCCGGAGTGGGGGCTTGTCTGCAAGGGTTAGGTAGATGGAGTGGGGTGTCAGCTACTCCAGGAAGGATCCCAGCAGCCAATCGGCACCACGCACAGAAACACCAGCAGGAGAATGAGAATGAGGGGATGAATGATAGGGCAGGAGAACAGAGAGAAGGGGGGGGGAACGACTCGGATGCAGAGAGAGAGACAGACAGAGATATAGGAGAGAAGCAAGGAGGGAGAGGGAGAGGAGAGGTGGCGGTGGAAGACAATGGGAGTGACAGATGGAGAAATGGAAGTGCAATAAAAGGAGGAAGGAGCCAGGGAGAGTGGAGCTGAGACAGAGAGGAAGAGAAAAAAGAGAGGGATGCAGAGAGCAGCTGTATGTTGGGAGAGTGGCGTGGCAGGAGGGGGTGGCTCGGCT